GTCCTTGACGAGTCCTATACCGCGATAAGATTGAATGAGCGAGTGAGTAAGTTTCTGAGACTCCTCCCCCGCAATGCATCTTACCTCTTTGCGCCAGATGCAGCAACAAACTTGCTGGGGATAGAGATCCACTGAACAAGCAGGCATTGCATTCCCATAAATGCCATGCTAATTGCATCAGTTCTAACAGTGTAATTTCTGTAGGCAAGTACCGTATCATGGATACTTTCTTCTATCAGGCGCCTCTTACCGTTGCTCAACTCAATTCATCTGCCTTAATCGGAACGGTCCGTACTGTGCCAATCCTATGAAGCAGTTCTTCTCCGACTCAAATTACTATTTGTTTCCTTTACTTCTTCTCACCGTTTCTCGCATTCGTTTTGCGACCCCTCTCTTCTTCACGGTTGCACAAGAGAAACTAAGAGTTTATGGGCGCCCGCTAATAAAGGCCCAGACGCCAAGCTGTGATTGCCCCAGTTTTCAACCCCAGTTTCGTTAGTCAGAACCCCCAGACTCCGTCCGACCAGAGCCAGAGGCAGAGGCCGAGGGACAGTCCTAAACCCACCTTTAAGACCCAAGCGTCCTCCACTTTCTGTCAATGACTTCCCGGGTCCCGATCTTGACCTTGCATTGACTCTGATCTCAAGACGACGACAATAACTGAAGACGCCAAATCACCGACTACAAGACCTCGCTGTTACGATCGACAGATACAGCCTTCACTTGACTCGTCAGTACGCCTTCGCGCGCCTAATCTTCCCAGACGAGTTTGGTCTGAGCGTGGCAATACCAGTTCCAGCCGTCTGGAACCCTCCACCAACGTCGCACCAAAGATCCGACAACCCCGGCTGTACGGACGATCCAACAACATCTTCGACTCTAGATACACGAAACAGCTCAAGACCTAATCCGCATTCGTATACGTTACAAATCCCACATACGCCACCCTCCAGCGAGGCACCTCTTTGCCACGCTGTGACTACAATGCTGTGGTCAGGCGCTGGCATTGACGCTGCGCTCCTCATCGCGGCCTGATGCGCTCCCTCCGAGGTTCCGTCCCAACCGGCGACAAACATTCTAATCTTTCCATGAGGGTCGATATGGTCTCAAGAACCTCCAGCGATGGCCCTCCGCCCGGAGGAGGCCGGCAATGGAAGTCATTGATCAACAAGATCCCGAGACGAGGGGTATGCTAGTCAAGTTCATGATCAGAGAATTCATACTGACGAACTGGTATAGATCAAAATAATCAGTCAACATGCCCCCGAAACTAGTACCTCCGACCTCGACCTTCACCTCCGATCTCCAGATAGCCACTCCACGAACCCTTTAGAAAGCCAAGAAACTCATATCCGGCAACTACAGACCATTCTTCAGCGGATGCCCCGCAACTTTCCTACTACGCCCAACCACGTCGACTCAGCCTACAAAGATTTTACAAAATACAAAGAGCAATGTGCTACGCTATGTCGACATATCCTTACAGAAGAACTCGGCCGCGGCTCTCGTAATGGTGGCGACCTCCCCCGCCGTGACTCAACCGTCGAGTCTCCGCAAAGTCCTGGCCAGATCTACGACACAAGGAGTTCCTTCAGTGGAAGAAGTCTTGCAGAGGTTGTGTCCGGGAGCGTTGGAAAGAGCATACATCAGACTGATGCCTGGCTGTCCTCTGTGCGCGACTGGAAGAACTACCTCGAGTCTCTTGCCGATGCTTGCCGGACGAGTCTAATTGAGACCTACAAGAACAACGAGCGCGATGCAACACCGGAACAGGTGGACGCCTTGTTCACGAATAAGCGCTTCCGAAAAGAGGCTGTGCAGCGAATGCGCAATGCCAGTGTAACCCGGGTCATGTCGGCAGATCCCCAATTCGTGTGTGGTCCTGGTCAGATATGCACGAGACAACAGCTGACAAATTGTAGTTTCCGAAATATGAAATGCGCTTTTACGATTACGAGAGAATTAAGCAGGAGTTGAACGAGATCAGACAGCTTCTACAGACAGGAGAGTCTGGCATCTCACCTGACCGGACCATCAAAGAGTTTGCAATCTCACAGCGCGGCGATGCGATACTAGAGTTTGCCAACAATGCGCCTGGATGTAACCACAGCGATCCAGCACTACGTTTTCGAGTCTCATCTTACATGCTCGCAGAGACGTCGCCTATCTTTGCGCGCATGTTTGCAGGGCACTCTAGCAGTCTCCATCTCTACGACGATGACGATATATCGGCACTGCTCCCACTACCCCCAACAAAATACTTCTGCAAGGATGGCTCTGAAGCCAAACTTTATCGCATGCCGCAGGTTGAGTTAAACCACCTGGGTTCTCTGGAGATTCTATTACACGCAGCACACATGCATAACGAAATGGTTCCACGAGAAATCGAGTTCGAGCAGTTCGTTGCTATCGCCGAGTGTTGCATGCGATACAAGAGTACTTCACCCCTGGAACTCATCGTTGAACATCGATGGCTGCCACAATGGATGCACAAGGGTGCTGATGACATGCCTGACGGGCTCTTGGTCATCAGCTACGCGTTTGGACTCCGTCGACTGTTCTCGCGCATGTCGAAGACTACAATTCTGAATCTTGTGGACGAGAAAGAACTACTAGCTAAACCCTGGCCACAGAAAATTAAGGATAAAATCTGGGCTGTTCGTTGCGCAAAGATGGCACAGATCCACGAGTGCTGCGTCAGTACTATCCGAGAATACATGCGGGAACCAACACACAATACGTTGGAAGGCTCGGAAGAGCTTTCATTGGATACACGAGCCAGCTTTTCCTCGGACAGTTTACCACCGACGATGCTGACGAGTACACCAAGATGTCCCAAGGGCAGCCATTGGTGTGATGCCACAAACCTCGGATGGCTGATGCTACTTTACAATGAGATGAACCTGCTGCCTCATATTATGGCACCTGATGTCTTGTCTCATTTGCCCAGGGCACAGCCGCAGTCGAAGAGTTTGGCGCAGATTGTGGATGCCTTGAGAAGGATTCCCGCACCGCCAACACCCGTCCATCGAGGCGTGTGTGATCCTGGGCCCATGTTCCGCTCTGCTATCAGCGATATCTATAATAGTGTGCTGGGCTTGACGCTCTTCGATATTAGTGGGAAGAGCCATGGCTGGGGACTCTCGAAGCACAGAGAACGAGAACCTCAAACTCAACTCAACAAAGGCCTTGATCGGATGGCTGCACCTGATCCGAACTACAGCGTTGCTACCGAGTTCCCCGAGATTGTTCGTCTTCGTATCTTATGCCAGCTGGATGAAATCGACGATCTGCACACAGCAGCCATGATCAACCGCGCATACTACGAGACCTACAAGAAGCATGAACTGTATTTGATGAGGAACATTCTCCGCATGGATCGGAAACGAACAGCGACTCGCAGTCACATACCGATCGGCCCTAACACCAACGAAGAGAAGGTTCTCAGAGATGAATCGGAAGTGTTGAAGCGCACGCCAGCTGATACTGCAGACGGTATCACTCTTCACAGCGTCGTTGAAACGGAAGGAGACTACACAGACTCCGATTCGGACAGTGACAGTCTTTACTCAACTTCAGTGACTCCATCCCTTCCAAGATCAGCTGCTACTACAAGCACAACCACCAGGGGCCGTGATTACCAGGGATCGTCAGACCCTGCGCGGATCACGGATAGCCCCGCACGGACACCACGGGCCCGGACCGGGACACCCACATCAAGATCCACCGGCATCGGATCTCCGACGACCCCTCGGCAGGGCCTATTTGACCCACCACCGCCTCCAACCACGGCACCACCCATAACCACAATCGACGAGCCTCCTCTCACAGTCGAGGAAGCAAACCGAATTCTTTGGCCAGAAGACGTCATCCGAGCCTCCGAGTCACCATTACCGATATCCCCAACAGGCATAGAAGGCATTCGCGAAAAGTTCCGCGCCGGCGATCCCGCGTTCGACGCAGGACTCGAAGAGAAGACACTTGTGCCGACCGGAGAAAAGCAGTTACGAAGTGAACATGACAGACAGGTTGGAATACTAAAAGGTGGTGATCCTTCAAGTAAATGATGCAAAGATCTACATGACATTTATACGTTTGCATACGCAATTTTGGAACATCTACATATAATAGCGAGCGATACTTGGATGGACATGATATATATTGTGGTTTGGCGCCCAAGTGACTTAGCATGGCATGGCACGCTGATACCCCTTGGCGCTTGAGGAGTTGAACTGTTGTATATTTGATATTATTACATATATTGATCGGCTATGGCTTATTTGGCGTTGACTATAATTTTTTCACGGTAACTACACGTCATACCTTTTGCTTTTGCTTGTGCTATGACATAACTTGTTTTTTGATCATACCGTGCTTTAGTGCCATGATCTGCATGTGTCTCTTGACCTTTATCTCATACCTATACTCCCCTTTCTCTGCTCCTTCATCTCACAAACATACTCATTACATCAATCAATAGACCAATACCATCGCCTCAAAAGTTTCCGGTCATGTCATCGGAGGCCAACACATGAGAATGATAAACTCTGTCCCTCCTGGGTATACTCACCCGAGTCAAATGTTCAGTAAGTGTGATCCTGTGAGTAGTGGGGTAAGTAGCGGCTAATTGTCCATCCTAGCACCACCAGGGACCGGGAATGGTTTGAGGATGATTACATGGCTTTCAGTAGCATCTTCTACCATACATGTGATGAACCGTGGAGTAATGCAGTCAAGTTTACAAACCATGGATTGGGACTAAACCCGGAGCACTATACGTGGGCCCACGGTGTCGGTACCGTCATACTCAAACTGAGCGTTCCCCTCACAGAAGACCCAGCCTCAAAGGCGAGAAGAATTTGGGCGAGCTTGTACTAAAGAACGTTATCTGTGCGCCAAACTACATATGCAATGTTATCGGCGGCAATATCGCACAGGATGGTTACTTGGCCGAAGTTGGTCCCTGTAGTATTAAGTGCAGAGGGGACATACGTGACAGTATGGGATCCCGGGTCGCACACTTCCGGCAAAACAGGCACTCGATACAGCAGATTGAAGTCAGAATATGGGGTCCTCCATTGGGTCGAGAGATAAAGGAGAGATCGACATCCCCCCAGCGCATCAGGTACGACTTGCCATACTTCAAACACGACATACAGGCTAAATGGCCAGCAGAGGAGAGATGTCGCTTCGAGAGGTACAGATCAACCCGTTTCCCTTCAGTTAATATTGGGGAAAAGCCTTGGTCAGAGGAAGAGCTACAGTGGCTTGGAAACGAGGGCATAAACTTCGACAAAATGGTCGAGAGGGCTAAGATTCGTCATCACGAGGAACACCCTGCGGATGCTGGGATCAAGACTCGCAAAATTGTCACGGTTTTGAGAGGAAAACACCGAGCACAGTGGCTGAAGAACCCGTTCCAGGAGCACTTTGACCTTCATACGAGATCCTGTGAAGCGTACAGGTGCGACCGGGCGTTTTCCTTCGCCCAGAACGGTTTTGTGAATCAAGTGTGGGGTGATGCCCAGCAGTTCATGTGCATGTATGGTTACAGGTATGAAGTTGACGACGACTATAGGATGGCAGCTATGCAGGTCAAGGATATCATAAGAGAGCAGGGATTGGAGGTTTCTGACGATGAGGAGTGGGAAGACGAGGACGAGGACGAGAATGCGTGGGAGGATACGGACGAGGACGTTTGTGAGTGTGAGCACGATAAGTGCGAGTGCGCTGAGGGTATTGACTAAGTCACGGGGGATTTGTGACAGTATCTGAGATTGGTAGAATATGGTATGGGACTAATGGTGGAGTTTGGAGGCTCTTGGCGAGATACACTACGGGAGGTCGATGTTAGCTTCGGGGTTCAATGAAAGCTCCGATGTGTTCCATATATCAAGATGCATACCAACTTAGTCATTCGAGGTGATGTGTACTTTGTAAGTTCATTGGCTAGAAGGACGATAATGGCGTGGAAGTTTGCGGCTTACAGCCTTATGCCAAAGTTGATGGCGAGTCAGCAGGAAAGGAGGCTGATCTGGAGACCTCAGGCTTAATTCAGCCAGTGTAGAGGGGATGGAGCAGGAGATGGAGACGTCTCAATCACTCAAGATTCTTTAATGGATCTGAAGGGTAACTCTCAGTCAGATGTTCAAGGGTATATCTGCCGGGCTATGATCTTACATGGCTGAAGGAGGAAACTCATAGAGAGGCTGTGACGAATAAACCTCAATGCAGTCACCTTGAGTAACGTAATCAAGCCTGGAATGCTATGATAATGCATTGTCTTTCGTTATGGCTTCGTGTAAGTAAGCCCATTCGACGAGGACTGCCAAGAGTCGCCCAGTGGCTTTCACGATTCGTTGAAGAAAAGCTGAACCCTCAAGCATGACTCTCAGCAGCATCTCTCTCTCGTTCTGATCTAGCTTCAGAGTGTCTCGTGGCTCACATTACGTTAAGAGCTTATGTACGTCCCTTTCATCTGGACTGAGTTACCCGGAGCGCGCGCGTTGGTATATCCCGTAGCTCACCAGTCCAGCAGTCCGGTATCAAGCCCAGTGTTGGCCTTACCAACGCCCGGACGCTTAACCTATCGCATTGGGAATAGAATCTGTCAAGCTGATGAAAGCATGCTAGTTAGCTGATGGCTAGTCCCGGGGCTAAGGGGAAACCTGTCATCTGCTTGTGGGATCTAGTAGCGTCTAATGCCTTCATTCGATTGTGTCGCCCACTCAAAGTGAGTCGTTGGCGAAGCTACCAAGTTAGAAGCTGCTTTTAGTTGAGTTTATTCCTTGATTAAAGCTCGAGCTCTAAGAAAGAACATGGAGCTGTGGTTCCGGATAGCAAGAAAGTGGTGGTTGCATGTCCATGTGAGTCAACAGCACATGACGGATCTTGAACATCCAATAGTTGGGAGAGGTTTGCAGAAATAAACATATAAATACGACACGAAAAACAGTATGTATACACAGAGTTATGCGCATTCGGCAGCCGGCATTCAAGCTTTTCACTTGTTCCCCCAACATCAGGAACGTCCACGGGACGAAGCCATCGCCCATCATACCAATTATTCGGTATCACCGTTGGACCCTGCATACTACCATGAGGATAAACCATTATTGGTATACTCTGGATGATCATCGTTGGATAAAACAGTATAGAAGAGGCGGGATGTTTCGTAGATCGCTTACCGGCGGTTGGGATCCTTCACCACAGAGCAGTCCACCTCATTCCATTTGTCAAAGCCCAATGCTCAAGAATGCAACTAAGACCATTTCAAACTTGAGTAATCAATTTTGGCGGCAGACCTGGCGTCTAGAAGCTCTAAACTGTAAACTATACAAAAGCGTTAATAAAGTATTCGGGTAGAACCTGGAAAACTGAGACCGAGAACATAAGGTAGATAATGCTAAAACATTTGAACAACACGGGGTCCCAAACATATAATTAAGCTTTCCTCGCCCGAGACACTTGACGATCTTGGTTTAAGTCATTCTGCGATAGGAATGATATGCAATGGTCGAGGCCGTGAGAATGGAGACAGTTACATTCCTCCCGGTTCCTGGAACCACCACGTTCTTGGCAAGGTTTAGCCTCCTGCAAGGTCCCGACGGTTCTACATGTTCCTGCATTTAGTATAGCTTCAACAATACACTTTACACTCGTACGTGAGGCTTCTTTTATAAAATGTTTTGACAATGTCGTGTAAGTTTCTGGTTCTGTTCTTTGTTCCCCCCCTTTGACAGAATATCACCTAGACAAAGCATTGTCACCAACTCATTCACTCCTTTTTTTTTTTTTTTTTACGGTCACACAAAATGAAGGTCGTTTATGCCTTGTCGTTATGCCTGGGCATAGCTGATGCTGTGGTGCTACCCGTCTTCTCAGCTCCCAAGGGTGGCTATGCACTTCCTCGACCTGATTCAGATGACACAACGGATACCTCAAAGACTCTAGCAGGATCGTCAAAGACAAATCTGAATTCTGTACTACCTGTATTTGGAAATGCAAAGCCGAAGAGTGGATTTCCTGCTTCTGCTTTGTCGCGAAGAGTTGAGCGAATCGAGCAGACTTATGGCTCTGGTGATGAGTCTACAGATGACTCTGATTATACGCCTACGGAGCCATCTGATCCTAGTCCATTAAGTCCGTCTCATGACACACCCTCAGGCTCTTCAGATGATGTTCAAGAGGTGGTATATGCCGAGCCATTCATGCAACCCACTTATGTCCGCTTCGGCCCAGCTCCTGTCGACAAGCCAGAAGTTGCTCCCAAGGCCAAGTCAAAGTCGAAAGATACTGCTAGTGTAGCCAGGCATGGAGGAGACGACGACTCCAGCTCTGGCGGACACAAGCAAAAGGGCAAGGATAAGAACAAGGGCAATGATGACAAGGGACGACACAACGGCGATGACGACGCTACAAAGTCTCGCAAGAAGCCCGAAGATTCACCAAAGACATCTTCCAGCAGTGCAACGGATTCAGTGTATGTTACTGCTACAAGCACAGCAGCCCCTACAAGCTCGCCTACGGGTGATGACAAGGGCAAGGGGAAGGGGAAGGGAAAAGGGAAGGGCAAAGATGACGGTGGTAGACATCATGGAGATGATGATGCTACCAAGTCTCGCACCAGAGTCGATGACTCCAAGACTCGATCGTCAGCATCACCAAATGCTACTGCATCTTCCAAGAAGGGAAGCTCTGGAAAGCACAGTGGCGAAGATGATGGCGGCAAGTCACGAGCCAAAGCCGAGGACTCCAAGGCCAACGCCAAGAAGGCCTCAAAGAAGACCTCCAAGTCCAAACCCTCCAAGAAATCCTTCATCACCCACCAGTCCGGCAAAACCTTCGATGCAGACAGCACCAAAGGCGGCGGCAAAAACGGCCCTGGCTACAATCCCTCCTTCGACATCCCCAAGCTCAACAAGGGCTACGTCCAAGCCATCCCCCCCAAAGCCAGCACCCTCAACAACAAGTCCAGCTCACGCGTGAAGCCCCGTCCCCAACTAAGCGCAGAAAAGGTCCGTCCCCTTTCCTCCTCCTCCTCCTCCCCCCTCAAGAGAGATGCACAAGAAAACATACTGAGTCTCCGTGCAGCCGCACCCTTCAACAGCGCCGCGATCGACCGCAAAAAGTGGTCAGTGACGTGTGATAGCGTGCACGAGGGGGATGACTGCAAGAATGCTATCGATGGGAACGGCGATACCATGTGGCATACTCAGTGGGAGGGCAGTGAGCCTGCGCCGCCGCATAGTATCACCGTTGACATGAAGAAGAGCTATAACGTCAATGGTATTTCTATGCTGCCGAGACAGGATGGCTCGCAGAATGGGTACATTGCTCAGCATCAAGTATTTCTGAGCAAGGATGGCAAGACTTGGGGTTCGCCTGTGGCATATGGGAATTGGTACAGTGACTGGACTGTCAAGTATGCCAATTTCGATACACAGCCTGCGCGATTTGTCAAGCTCGTTGCTCTCACTGAAGCAAATGGCAATCCTTGGACAAGCATTGCAGAACTCAATGTCTTCCAAGCAAACGACTACGTCCCTCCCCAAGCATCACAAGGCGCTTGGGGTCCAACCATCAACTTCCCCATCATCCCCGTCGCCGGAACCGTTGACCCCTACACGAGCAAAGTCATCGTCTGGTCATCCTGGGCTAGGGATACCATGTCCGGTGGTCCCGGTGGTCTAACCCTCACTTCCACATGGGACCCAGCGACAGGCCAAGTCGCAGAGCGTCAAGTCACAGAGACAAACCACGATATGTTCTGCCCGGGCATTTCCCTCGACGGGAACGGCCAACTCGTTGTTACAGGTGGTAACAACGCCGAGCGCACAAGTCTCTTCGATCCCGTGCAGCAAGCGTGGGTATCCGGGCCCAACATGCAAGTCGCACGCGGGTATCAATCCTCCGCCACGACATCCACGGGCAAAGTCTTCACCATCGGCGGATCATGGAGTGGCGGATCGTCTTTCAAGAACGGCGAGGTGTACGACCCGAAGAAGAAGACCTGGACGCTGCTAAACAAGGCTGATGTGCAGAGGATGCTCACGGATGATGCGCAGGGCTTGTTCCGCTCTGATAACCACGCTTGGCTGTTTGGTTGGAAGAGCGGCACTGTGTTTCAGGCTGGGCCGAGTAAGAATATGAACTGGTACTACACTGAGAAGAAGAATGGCGATGTCAAGACTGCGGGGCAGAGGGCGTCTGATCGTGGTGTTGCGCCTGATGCTATGTGTGGCAACGCCATCATGTTCGACGCCGTCAAGGGCAAGATCCTGACTCACGGTGGAACTCCGAATTATCAAGACTCGGACGCTACTACTGATGCCCACATCATCACTGTCGGAAACCCTGGTACAAACGTTACTGTTGCTTACGCGAGTGAGGGTCTCTTCTTCCCTCGTGTCTTTCACAGTTCTGTTGTTCTACCCAACGGCAACGTCTTCATCACGGGGGGTCAGGAATACGCCATCCCGTTTGAAGACTCAACGCCCCAGCTGCAACCTGAGATGTACTATCCCGACAAGGACGGCTTTGAGCTCATGAAGCCCAATAACATCGTAAGGACATATCACAGCATCGCCCTCCTCCTCCCCGACGGACGAGTCTTCAACGGCGGTGGTGGTCTCTGCGGCGGATGTGACACCAACCACTTCGACGCTCAACTCTACACTCCCCCCTATCTCTACGACGCAAAGGGAAAGTTGGCCACACGCCCCAAGATCACTTCCGTGTCTGTGTCTTCCATCAAGGTTGGGGGAACAGTCACTGTTCAAACGGGAAGAGCTATTGTGCAGGCTTCTCTGGTGCGGTACGGAACGGCTACGCACACTGTTAACACTGACCAACGTCGTATTCCGTTGACGTTGGCTAACGCAGGGAAAAATTCGTATTCGTTCCAGGTGCCTAGTGATCCTGGTGTTGCGCTGCCGGGATATTGGATGTTGTTTGTCATGGATAAGAATGGAGTGCCGAGTGTGGCTTCTACGATCAAGGTCACTGGCTCGTAGATGCTGGCTTATTATTATAGATTTCGGTTGATCAATTTAAAACAAAGTTCTATCATATTCTCTCTTCCGTCTTTGTCGAACATGATTCTCTTGCCGAAGATCCCCTCAGGGACAAGAAAACAGCGAACCTTAATGTGGGGTATCAAACATAAACTTAGCAAAAGTCATCCTAAGCTTAGACTATATTACCTAAATCTTGATTGTTATTTAGGATCGAGGTGCTGTTTTATTTCCTCCCCTATGATGCGTAGTGCTATTGCCCGCAATCCACCGGATATATGCAGGCCTCACTTGCTCTTCTGTGAACAATGATGGATTATTGGCTGGGTCGTTGCGTGTGGTACAGGAGCCAAAAATACTAAGGCCCGGAGACGGTTGAGTTGTATGACCTCCCTATACAAGGGTTCGCCGGTAAGTTAACCCCCTCCCACTTGTGCATGAGCATTCCCCTAACAAGGAGACTAGAGAAGCTTGGTAAACTGAGGCAGAGCATGATCAACCGACTCCTGAACATAACATCTTATTAGTCTTTACTCCATACTCTGCTGTCCTAATACATCTGGCTTCGATAAGAACGGCGAAGCAGAGCTAATATCAGGAATACATTACATTACCAAATACACGCTTTGTTCCTGATGTTTACTACTAGCTTTTCATCTCAATCCTTTGTTCTCTGGCACTACCCTGCACGCTAGCTGCTGCTTTTATCTCCCTCCTTTAACTCTCTCCTACCTCCCCTGCTAGTTCCTCTCTCCGAAGTACCGACTCATTTATTCGTCTACGATCCTGTGTACCCTTCCTCTTCTGGCAGCACCTAGGCACCGCCAGTACCTTTCTCCCTCTATATTCTGCTGGGTCTACAGTAAATGGCAAATATGTCTTTGCGTACGCCCCCTCATCTTCCTCCATCTCAATGATATTGATCTGTAATACCTCAGGATCCAGGTCGCCAGGAGGCACAAGGTGGTCAAACGTAATCCCGTAGTAGTCAATCCTACTACAAACCAGAGGTTACCAGTTAGCATCTATGTGTATAGTTGAGAATCCCTATTCCATAGCTCACGTACCTCCACGGCCTTGCATCCTCCTGCACCCACCCTAGGTACTCATCTCGCACAACCATATCTCCATCGATCTCAGGACGAATGTCATGTCCGTATATTGTCCGGAATGCCACTCTGGCAAGCTCTTGCCCAGCTGGCTGCAGGCTTGGACGGAAAACGCCCTCAAGCTGCCATTCTACCCCAGGCAGCAGTTTATTGATAGAGCTGAGTGGTCCCTCAATCTGAATCCGTAGGGGCTGATCTACTGGCGGGGGGTGCCGAGGCTCAGCAGCGGACCGCATACAAGGTGGGATATGAAGGTTCAGTGCCATTGAGTCGCTAATCTCTAAGGTCATAGTGTAGCACTCGTCAATGCTATGATTGTGTATATTCCGAGGCACAAATGATTAGGCCAAGCTCTAGTATGGCAAAAGGTGCTCTGTCAACATATATAAGGATTTATCCTCTGAGAGCGAGCGAGCGAGAGAGAGAGAGAGAGAGGGAGGGAGGGAGAGAAAGAGGGAGAGAGAGAGGGGGAAAGCTATGGGAGGGAGGCGGTTTTATCATTCCCCAAGGCATCCATGCTGAAAAACCCCGCGCACATTGCCTTACCTGTAGCCTATCCTACCGGCCCACTTTGCCTCGCTGTATATGTTAGTCACAATATGGATGACTAGGGGAAAGGGAGGGTGCTTTGCATTACTGACTAACACCTTTCTCTGATGTGGGCAAACTCTTGGTAGATTACAATACCAGTTGGGAATATAAGTTATTATTAGTCTTAAGAGATAATAGAATGGATATTCTTCCATTTCCTCTTTTAACTTAAAACTCTATTATAAAGCGCTCCTATGATTCCTTCTATTATCTCCCGCCATATAGCCAAGACCTTGACAGACTTAGTTGGTTGGGGATGACGGTAGGCACATAACCAGAATCCTCTGACCTGCCGGGGACAAAGTGTAAGCCTCTGTTTTGCCGGGAGAAACTGGGATAACTGATTAGACGTAAGTAAACCTGCCTTTCCCAGCGGGACAAAACTGTTTGGGAATTTAGAAGAGGTTATTAAGCTCTGTTCGGTGGCTATAGGCTCTAAGCCACAGCCCTTAACTACTTGCAAGGAAAGGAATCAAGATCGGTGACGGTGGACTGGAACCCAGGGGCTGAGAACGGGCAACATAGAAGGTAGAAGTTCATCATCTTTTCGACGCCTGTAGATAACGGCTCGTAATATCAGGTTGCAATACCTACTTAGGCAAGTTAATATCACATATGCCATCAATAAGATATTATAACGAACTTTGAGCCTGTCTGATATTTAGATTCCCACCTAAAGGCGTGAATTTCCTCGGATGGCAGCTGCGTGTCCTGATGTGAATCATGGTCAGAACTGCACTGTGTATGCAAGGCTGAGGCCGGTCATCGAGAGAGTTGAGGGGGAGATTGAGGATATTGAGTTGAGCTACTTTCAGTCCTGATACTATGAGCATGATACTTGAGCCTGGTAGTTGTATACGTTGTGTTGAAGACTTGTGGCGAGCTAGTGTCTCGTTGTTCTTGAGCTAGCCGTTCCTCTCCAAATGAAGTATCCCCTATCTTGGGCACAGCAGTTTGCTATTCGACGCCATCAATAAAAGTCCGTGTTTTACTGGCGAGGGCGAGGCCCCTTGGAGGTACGGGCCTTCGCTTGTGCTTCAGCGGTGCGTCTATTTTGACAGTGTCTGCCAGATGCACCTGACACCCGGCACGCGCTCTCTTACAGCCGCCCAGCCTTGGAGAAATTTTCCCAACTCTTCTGTTTACTATTCAACATCCCGGCTCGTTCTTTATCGTGGGCTTCTCTTTTCTTCCTCATCCACAAACTCGGCAACGTGACACCATCATGTCGGTCGTCACTCACGCTATTGCTCCTGATGGGGATCTCTATATCGTCCTCAAGAAGCCTGACTCTAAGAACACTATTCCAAAAGTCAAACGTCGCATGTATGGTACCGTTCCACCCAGGTTTATTCAAGATATAGTTGATAGGGAATACCCAAAGTGGTACTCGCCAGCCATTAACACGCATAGATACGGACGTTAGGCAACCTACCTTCACAAATCACACTGAAGCTAATGGCATTTCACAGGCAAAGAGGCTGTTCAACATCGGTTTCTAGTATCGTCGCAAACCTTGACTACTGTCTCTCCCGTGTTCAAGAGGATGCTTGGAGGCTCCTGGAAAGAGTCGGCACCAGCTGTGGCAACATCCCCTTCAAGCTCAACCGCCATCCGTGAGGTTTCAACAGATGGTTGGAATCCACATGCCCTAATCACAGTTCTCAACATCATCCATGGCCGCCACAACGACGTTCCGCAAAAAGTCAGCGTCGAGTTTTTCGTCAAAGTTGCCGTTATCGTTAACTACTACCAATGCACTGAAGCTGTTCACTTGCCACAAATCTATGGAGATCGAGACTCGGGTGGCACAACACTCCCAAAGATTACAGCAAAGAATGCATCATGTACCTGTGCTTAGCTTGGGTTTTCTCTTGGCCCGAAGTATTCAACTCAATGGCCTATTTGGTGTTGGAGCAAGGCGAAGGCTTAGAACATGTGAGCACCTACGATCTTCCCATTGCAATGATCATTGGCAAGTAACATCGTTAATGCAGCATGCCTATAGACGACTAACAATGGAAATAGAAAAGCTGAATGACAAGAGAGTGTGGGCTTTGAATGTTGTCTATGGAACCCTCGGCCCCATGCGAAAGCAACTTCACGATGGCCGTAGGGGGTGTTCCCCCCAATGCAAGTACATGTCACTCGGCACCCTTGAATCTCATAGAGAGGCCATGAAGAAGGAATTTCGAAGTTGGGAATACACATCCAAAGATAGGTCTGTCTACCGTGTGAGGAGCCTTTTGAGCAAGTTTCCTTCACTTGAATAGAAGAGCCCTGGCGATAAGGACAAAATTCACCCTCACAGCATCGAAGGTTACATGGAACCAACTTTCAAGGAGATCGAGGAGTCGTTCCGTAAAGTCCAGCTCAGCGACTTCCAAGCTAAGAAGGACTGAGAAGTATATGGCTTGCTAGATGCCAGGGTACCGTGGATTCTTTGGAAGCAAGTTACATGGAAAGACGAATGTTAATTAGAAGGATGGGTAGAAATAAAGCCTAAGTATGAGTCTTGTATGCATGAGGGTAGTCTTTATTTTGAGTTGCATCAATCTTCCCATCCTGTATTTACTGGTCACTTTGACAAGTGGAAAACATTGAGTTGCTTTCGAAGTCCCTAGATCTTACGCGGTCCTTCGTTTTCACCTTTTGTGTAAAGAGAACAGCCATTGCTTAGTCCTGGCGTTTTTGCATAACAACACTATAAAATATCCAATAAAGAAATACAAGAAAACCACAGCAACTATCTTCCATTAAATCCTACCGTGACTACTTATTAGACCTTGATCGAATTTTCAATCTCAGCATCGTCATTTTAAGTCTCTCTACTGCGAAGTATAGGCTTCTGCTGGCGCTTTAGCGGTCAAGTGTATTTATTTTGACAATGTCTATCAAGTGCCATCTTTTCACATCCGGCTCTCTGCTCCTTTTTGCTCCTACATCTTTCTAGGGGTCTACGCCTCCTTTTTCCCTTTTCTCCTCTTCACATCACAACTTCTCCACTCACTTCGGATTTCCCTTCTCTTCCCCGGCTACGAACTCAGCCATAGTCATGAACATCATCACTCACGACATCGTCCCTGGTGGCGATCTCTGCATCATTCTTAAGGAACCAAACACACAGAGAGTTCTGCCAGATGTCTCTCTTCGCCAATACCAATACAATATGCCAGACTACCTGCCCGACCATGATCGTCTCGATGCTCCGCCTATGATTTCTCCTCTTCCCTATTTCAGAATTCACGGTAATGGCTTCATCAACCTAAGAAACATCTGAAACTGATTTAAGAACACAGACGAAGAACCCGTCGAAATCCGCCTTCGCGTTTCTTCTGCTCATATGACTCTCGCTTCACCCGTGATCAAGAAGATGCTCCAAGGTCCATGGACCGAAAGTGCTGAAATTGGCTCTCCTGACTCTGTCAACACTTCCTCTTCCCCGAGCACATCAGTTCGTGAAATTTCTACCATCGGATGGAACGCAGATGCTTTGGTCGCTCTTCTCAACATCATCCATTGCCGTCACAGCGATGTCCCAACCAAGGTCAATCTCAGCTTCTTTGCTGACTTTGCACTTATTGTTGACTACTACCAATGTGATAGAGCCGTCCTATGCTTTCCACTTCTGTGGCACAACTCCCTCTACAGGGCCCCCGAGGGATTCGGAAGGAAGCCTATCCTGTGGCTGTACATTAGCTGGGTCTTCTCCTGGCATGAAACTTTCCCCGATATGGCAATGTTGATCTGGAAGCATGGCGAGGGTCTGGACCTTGTCAAAACCTACGATCTCCCTCTTGCTGAGATCCTCGGTAAGTGGTTCCTGATATAGTATAGCTCATGTGATGACACTTCTGACATTGAGGATAGAGAATCTAGATAACAAAAGACAAGAGGCTATCAAGACAGTCTTGGGGGAGCTTGACAACATCATTGGAGAACTTCAAGAGGACCAGTTCGACGACACATTCTGGGGGGGTGGTTGGGGGCAGACTGACCACGCACGCCGTTGTATGACGCTGGGTTCAGCACTGCGAGAGAAACGCCGACTGGACAAACTAGATCCCCCTCTCACAGCTCCATACACCGGATACCCTTTCTCTAAGATGATCAGCATGGTCCATGAGTTTCGTTCAATAGATGGGCACGTAGAGGACCATGAAGAGTACGTATCCGATGACGGAGATGGATGGGGCCCAGTGCCAGAACAGGAACAGAGTCCCAAAAGCGACTGAAGAAAAGAATCGACAACATCCTGGGTGATATCAAATGACTCAACTTGGAAAACTTCAGAGATTGAGAAGGCGGAAAGAAAGGTTTCATGGTTCACTACGGGTATATGCAGTTCTTTTTGGTTGAAGGATGGGATGCACTTTAGCAGTTGCATCAACGGTCATACTCTATCTATAAGATACTATCTAGCTTAAAGTCTAGCTGGACTTGATACCTCGGTTTGCTGCTATACTTGGTCTTTTGATCTGGCCCCGTGATAAGGATGCTTGCTTTTGCCAAACTGAAAGGCCTGGATTCTGTTGTCAGTGACAAGCAGTGGGCAGCTCACCAAGCATCAAAGCCGGAACAAGTGCATAACTGGAATTCTAGACATCTCCGCCCCCAGTGGGTTTTCTCTCCTTCCACAACAAGTCTCTTCTCATGCCCGGCTTGTTTCCTCTTCCTTCATCTCCCTCCTCCACACTTCAATCTCAAACTCCTCAAGGATCTAGTTATGATGAAGACCATCTCATATGTGATCGACCCAGACGGCGATATCGAGCTCGTACTGAGAGAGCCTAGTTCTCACCAGATCATCCCCGAAATCCACTGCGATGGCCCCTCAACTCAGGGTGATCTGCCTGACTCCGATTTTGACAACCCCCCTGCAATTGGCCGTTACACCATTTTTAACGAGCTCTACACCGAGCCAACGGCCACGACTGGTACTCAGAATATTGAAGAGGATCATGAGCCCCGGGAAGTTCATATGCGCATCTCATCGAAGCACTTGTCCTTTGTGTCCAGCACATTCCGCGATCTACTGCACCCTTTGCGCAACGAAGATGCTTCTGCTCAATTTTCTGCCTGCTCTTCATCTCCTCCTCCCGCTTTTCGACCTTCTACCAAGATTTACACGGTTGGCTGGGATGCTGTGGCCCTTGCTATTGTGCTTGATGCCATCCATGGACGCCACGCAGAGATCCCTCGAGTCATCAACCTCGGGCTTCTTGTCCGCATCACAACCGTAGTTGACCACTACAAATGCCAGGAGGTGATTCAAGTCTTCTTCGACCATTGTCAGAGAGGAATCTTTAGTCAAGATGGTTTCCCTACCATTCTCTGTAAGACAGCTCTTCTGTGGTTGTACATCTGCATTGTCTTCCCAGGATTGGAGGGCATCTTTGCATCCATGGCTTGTACGGTGTTGTCGGACTTCAAAGGATCTGCTCAAATCACTGCTAGAATGCTTCCAATCACAACCATTCTCAGTAAGTTGACGAAGCATGCATGTCTGTGTGACAAAACTAACGAACGAGAAGGAAAGCTCAATGAAAAGAGACTCTCTCTCATCCAACAGATCAAGGATGGTCTTCAAGACTTACACAAGTCACTCCTCCAAGGATCAGAATGTGTCCTACGCGACCGTTTTTGCTCGTCGCTCACACTTGGTGTGTTAGTTCACATGGTACACCAACATGAACATGCTGAGCCTCCCTTCATAGCCCCCTTCGACGGGTACAGTGTTGCCACAGCTTTGAAGCTAGTGACAGAGTGCTCTGAGCCGGTGCCGCGACATGACAATCACGGAACAGATATGCCCAGATACATTGACCCTTACGATGGCATGACCTACCCTTGCAGCATCAGAGGGAGAATGACACCAGTGGTTGAGAAGGTCGAAGGGGAGCTTTACCGTATGCGCCCGGCCGACTTCAAAGACTAAAGTTGTTTATGGTTAGAGTTTGATGATTTGTCGGTTGTCTGACAATATTCTGAGTTGCTTTTCGAGAGGTCCTGGAGGATGCAAATTCAAGTTGACATGCATAATACATCTTCTGGAACACGAGGCCAGGATGGAATAGGGACTTGGGAAAACTTATTTATTAATCGTGTAAACTCTTTCAATCCTGTTTGTACTACTTCGCACTCCATAGTCTTGATCTGCCCTGGGACCTCTTCTTCCTGGATTATGGCTCTAGTTTAGAAAGCTTATAAAAGGTTTGACCCTTGATTTCTATTAAGCGTCGTAATTCTATGATATCTTATTTATTTGAGTACATGAACTTTGCTTGGCAGACTACCTCTTTTGTATCAATAACCGGTTTGCAATTACGAGTGGGCGACTTGGCTGTCATCTGAATACCAGCACTACAGAACTTGATGTGTGTATAACAGCCATCTCTTTCTTTCATCAAAGAAATTTATCGGGTATTGATTTATTTGATACCCCTTTCTGGCCTACTTGAACTTGGTGTGTCGACCTGTGAGAGGTCTGAGTTGCCAGCGACAGGTTGCGCTGAACCGCAGCCATTTCGTCCCATCTCCCACACACGCCCAAGGCGATTTGTGCCTTTTTTCCAAAAATTTCTCCTCTCTCTCATCTCCATTTAGTCTTTTCTCCTTCATCTCTTTTCTCGCCCTTCAACTTCCTTCGTGTCCTTTCTTCGCCCCTCATCCCAGGCATAATCATGAAGTCCGTTTCATACGTGATAGATCCTGACGGCGACATCGAACTTGTGCTGAACGAGCCGAATACCCAGAACATCATTCCCCAAAAAGTCTTGATTGGAGATGAAGATGCCACCAGCGACTCACTCACCACAGAGTTCTACAACTCGGTACTCCAAGGACGATACATGGTCTTCGATAACTTTGATGCTCCAACATTTGTCGATGGCGAGGAATACGCCGATTGGGTCTTCGCTGAAGAGACTCCCGAGGTAGTTCGAACACGAGTTTCCTCAAAGCACCTAATCTTTGCTTCTAAAATCTTCGGTACTATGCTTCAGGGCCCATGGGCCGAGGCCACCACCTCATTTTCTTCCCAGCGGAATCCCCGCCGAGTTTCAACTTCTGCCTGGGATGCCAAAGCTTTTGCGATTGTCCTCGATGCAATTCATGGGCGGGTACAAAAGATCCCTAGGCGTATCAACCTCGTTCTCCTGGCTCGGATCGCCACCATCGTCGACTACTACCAATGCTATGAGAGCTTAGAGCTGCTTAGCGATGTGTGGCTCAGCGATGAGTCTGTTGCAGAGGAAGACTTCGATTCTTACACCGTAAATTCACTACTACGTCTTTATGTCGCATGGGTCTTCGAGGATGAGGCTATTTTCTCGACCGAGGCAGACAGAGCTTTGAGGAACAGCAGAGGACTCTCAGAATTCCAGTTGAATGACCTTCCGGTTGGAGGGGTTCTCGGTAAGTTTACACTAGGCGGTCTCTAGTTAAACATGCTAACGCTCTATTTCAGATGTCCTGAATGACAAGAGAACGGAGCTGATCGGAAGGCTCTTGAAAGGTCTCGACGACCTTCGAGAATCGCTCCACACGGAGGATGAGTGCCCCGGTTTAGGCTTATCCGACTGTTCATCTGCATTGCTCGGTATGTTGATGCGAGAGGGGGTCAGATGGCAGAAAGACTACCAACCTCTCACAACTCCTTACTGCGGGCACAGCGTTGTCACGATGATTGGCTTGATCGAAGAGATTCCCCGACCCAAGCCATTTCATCCATGCTACAATAACTCTGGAAGAGGCCGCTCCGGCGAAGTCAACGCATATCATCGACAATGTTCGTGCACCATTCAGGGTCGGATGTAGGCACTGGTGGAACAAGTCAACAACGACAGCATGAGGTTTCACCCTTCACAGATCCAGGGCTGGGGATTGCGTCAGAAGGAAAATGACTAGAAATTCGGGCTTCATTTGTTCTGTGAACAAGTTTGTAGGAGACTGGATCATTTGCGAATATGGAAGGTTGAAAGAAGCTGAGTTGAGTGGTGCCTGGGCCTAAGGGTTGGAGTCAAAGTTTGCTAGCTTTCGTTTATGTATTTGTCATGTAACTCCTTCACTCACATTACCCCGGTCTCAGTGGCTTGCGTTAGCATTTGTGATCTTGTTTGCCTTCAGACCTCTTGTTCCCAATTTGAGACTGAATTTAGGACATTTTAAAACCTTACCCCTGATTGCATAAGTTAGTCGACCTTGGGATATCTGTCTAAAATCACAAGCTGCATTTGTCCAACCATATCTTTTGATCGTAAATCTGTTAGTAGTCTGGATCTTTGTCTGTATTTGTCCAAACGATGTGCCAGTGCGGTTTGCTTCTGCCTGCTCTTAGTGGGCGGGCAGATGCATATCGTCAAGGCCCACACTACTTCTTCCCCTTCGATTCCTCCTCTCCATTCTTCGTCACAACACTAAAACTTGACTACTCATTCATTATGACGTGCATTTCATACATCATCGACCCGGACGGTGATGTCGAGCTTCTGCTCAAACGGCCAAACAGTCAGCAACTCATCCCCTGTATTCCCACTGACGAACATGACGAGGATACTGAGGATCCTATGAATGAACCCACAGTCGCTCGTGGTGTCCTAGATGCAAGATATCACGTATTTGATGATCTTCTTTTTCCTTCCGAAGCTGAAGATCCCAGTACAACAACGCCTCGCTGGAGATTCAGTGCCCTCCTGAACCTCATCGAAACTCCAAGCACTCCCAAGGTCACAACTCCTCCCGAGGATGAAGTCCGCCTGAGTGTTTCTTCACGCCATCTCATTCTAGCCTCTCGTTGCTTTCGCTCCTCGCTCGATGGGCCCTGGAGCGAGGTATCAACAACTTCTTCTTTCTTCGGAAAGCCTCTCCGTCAAGTCATGGCCTGGGATTGGGATGCGGTGGCCTTTGCTATTGTTCTAGATATGGTACACGGTCGACATGGGGCTGTGCCTCGCATCGTCGATCTCAAGCTCATGGCTCATATTGCAACCATAGTCGATTTCTATGGATTCCATGAGGCCGCGAAGATCTTTTCTGAAGTTTGGTACAAGAACATCTGTATCGAGCTGAAGGACGAGTACTCTCGTGAGACTCTCGTGTGGCTCTCTGTTTCTTGGGTCTTCCCCAACCAAGAACCTTTTGATAGAGCGACTCGGGCTATCCTCAAGCACATGGAAGGCCCTCAGCCGAGTACCGATAATCTTCCAATCCACAGGGTTCTACGTTAGTAGCCATTTCCCCTTCCAACTCTGGACCAAACCGCTAACAAGAGAAACAGCCAAGATCGACGAAAAACGACAAGAACTTATCAACAAAATCGTGACAGAACTTCACAGACTTCATAACACTCTTCCAAACCCAGACTTTCTCTGTGACTGGCACAAGTACAATTCCCCGGCGTGCCACTCTATCGCGCTGAGTATTTTGAAGCAAGAACTGCAACGTCTCGCATCAAGTGACCGCCCCCTTGTGCCCCCTTTCAATGGTTACAGTGTCACGAGCATGGTTCAATTGGTCAACGACATACCTGAGTCGATTGCTGCTACGACCAAGGGGTATGACCACTATCACGATGTGTCGGTGTGCAGTGTCAGGAGCAGAATGAGGCATGTTCTTGGAGAAGTCAGGGCTGAGATGAATTCCTGGACTCTTGATCTGGATATGGATGTTGGAGGTGTTTGACGCCAGGGAGTTATGGGAATGGTCGGTGTCATGGTTTAGAAACTGAACGAGAACGATTTCTCGTGCTCTCGATGGCTTGGATCTTTACTTCCATCACTTTGCTGTTTTTTGTAGCACTTAGACTTAGATTTAGGAAGGTTCCTAGCGACTCATCGTGCACCTTGCTCAACGTCTCTACCCATCGCCGTTTTCTCCTCGTTTAAGGTGTTCAACCCGGTATAGATGGCTGAGCAGTAAGGTAGTGCTAGATGGTGTAAGAGAATAAACTTGTCAAAAGTATACTAATTTTATCTTCAATCGTCTTAGATCATCAAAATTATCCCAAGATATCCTAATACTATCTAAATCTTTATATCACAGAGGATAAGAACAGGGTTTTAGGAATGGTTGCAGTTGAAAGACGAAACAGTTCCGTGAATAATGCTCAATTTCATCTATCTTAACTCTTGAGAGCTTCCAAGGATGCCCCTGCCATGGTCAATGATGAGACGATGTCGATTGAAATCAACCACAAACAAAAGTTCTCCTGCCCGATATTATTTAGGCTGGAAATCAGTCAGACGAATGCTCCGCGCCTCACGGTCTATCTCGTCCAGGGTTGGCTTCAGTCTCCCCTGAATAGTGCAAAAGCAGGGGTGAAACTTGCGCTTCTTCTTGGGATTGGGATTTTCGCGTTCAAAGTCTGCCCGCTCGGGAGTAGTCATGTTGTCGATAAAGCCCAATACCTCTCGTAATTGGCATTTATCAAATAGAGGTTCAACAGTACTTGCACAGTTGTCCTGCATGTAGTCCCTTTCAGCTATTAATATAGGGAGCAGAACGGCATTGCAGTAGTCCTCTTCATCGCAGCCGCCTCCACCCATCAATTCCTCTTGGAGAGCGTCCAGGGCTTCGAAGATTTTGTTGCATAGGGTTTCTCTTATGTCGTCGAGCTTTTCTACCAAGGTGTCGTCAGAAAAGCCATTGTGTATTCGAGATGTTGAGTAACTTACCGAGAATGCCGCTGACAGGAAGCTCATGGGTCTCATGGTCGGATATTCCTGGGTTGAGGCGCACAAACCTATCTGCCATTTTGCGGAATCGATTCTCATCATGGAATACCCATGAGACAAATAGCCACATGACATTTAGTCCATCTCCGTCCTGTTCGTTCGGCAGTCTGCAGACACTTTCGTCGGTCCACGTGCGATAATGAACTTGTACGGCCTCGCGGCATTGGTAACAGTCAACAATAGTTGAGATCCTGGTCAATAATCC